AAACAATACGCAACGATTCAATCCATGGTAGCTCAACATTTAATCGAATCTGTCGGTCAAATTGCGTTTAGATTATCATAGAAAGATATAAAAATTAGTAAAACTACATTAAGAAGAAGATTTAAAGAGACTGGTGTACATTCAATGACACCGACTTCGAAACCGTTGCTAAAAAGTAACGATGTTTTAAAAAAAGACTCCAACAGGATATAAAACTCAAAGACTGTGATCCAAGTGAAAATGTATGGGCATTAATGGAGCTCATAATAAACAAAGAACCGTATATATCGATCAATAATTTCATTGAAAGAATAAAAAAAAGAATGGAGAAACTTAGCTAATGAATTCGCTGAAAATTAGGCGATTCTATGGAAAATAGAGTACCATTGTTAATTGAAAGAAAAAGCGATTATATTAATTATGAGGATGATGCACATATAATGTAGATTTCATAGATAAAATATAACCAAATAACTCCTTTGTCTTGTTCATTTTTTCAATCGCGGCCATTTATGGCGGGTACTGTAGATCTAACAACTAGACAGTTATCTTCATTCTATTTCGATCCTTTTCTCTTATTCATCAATGATCAAATGAAAATTTTACCAAGTATATCAACTCATAGCAATTTAAAATTAAGTTTATTTCTCAATATATAATTATTTTATTGTTGTATCAAGAATCGAAATACGAGAAGTCTTTCACTATGGTTTAAAGTATATTAGCGTATTACTGATAATCTTTGACGTATTATGAACGTGTTCGGCATGAATAATAAATGTATATAATTGACTAAAATATCTATCAGGTAACCAGAGACAATCATCAAAAGTCTTCACCTTAATATTTAAATGAACAATACTTGATGAATAACATCTAAATGGTAAACTAGTAAGTGATTTTAATGTATATAGACATTTGTGTTTTTAATCAAAGTGAAGATGGGTTAAATTTGTAAACTTCATACGAGCATTGAGAAAAATACATGGGCATAAACACCATCGATATTCATATTGGCTATGAAGAAAATATGAGAAACTATACATACTTAATATTAACAACTCACACTAGAACAAGTAGAATTATTTAATTTCAATTATGAGGAAAAAATTTATGATGCAAATCATAAATGATTAGATTTTATATTCAATTCATTAGTAGATATGAAGAAATATGATTCAACTTAGATCTATGCTATCATACCTCTGAATTAAAATATTCAAAATGTGATCATTTTTAAGAAAAAAATATTCTGATTTTATTTTTGCATTTAAGATTTTATTTTATTTTTGATTTATGAATATTTCTAACAATTCTCTTAACATGTATTCAAATTCTAAATTGTTTTTTGGAGAAGTTTCATATAATCAAATTAAAAATCATACGTCGAAAGTATAATTTTTCTATGTTTGCTTTAACATTTTAGGCATCAGAAATTATTCTTTCGATTAATTGAAGCGTCGATAGATTTTGAATGCTTGAATAGTCAGCATTATTATTTCGATAGTTTTCATTTATTCAAGCACTTGAAACTTGCGCGACTGCTGATGAGTCAAAGCCAAGTAAAAAAATGAATGATCGATAAAAGAACGAAACAAAAAATGTATATTTAAAATTTTCGAATACTCGTCCCAGTCATCAGCTATTTGCGTTATTGCTTCTTTCCTTTTTCAGATAGTTAATTAAGCGTTAATAAAGATCGCAAAATATCAACCTAACTAAATCATTGAATACAAACCAGTTTTTAAATCTATGGTGAATTCATCAAAAAATTTTACTTCTGCATAAGTAATAGAGACACAAGAGAAGCGATAGAATGTTAATTTAATGGTAATCGTTGGTTTTTATATGTATTTTTAGAATAAAATTGGTTTTTCATATATTAATTTTTCCTGTTGACGTCAACAAAGGCCAGAAAGAAGTAAACAGATCTAGTTAAATATTATTGGTAAGTTTCTTTATTCAAAGTAATATCAAATACATATTTTCTGTGCCTGTCCAATTTAACACAGAGTGTCCTAAAAGGATGTGAGTACAGGTGCAGTATGTAGGCATGGGTGGATATTCGTCGTGTGAGAATGGGACGTGGACCATAGGACGACCCAATTTGAGTCATACCCTCATAAAGAGTCATTAAAAATTCTGTTTTTTCGAGGAAGTCCATGGAATTTAAAAAATCGAAGAATAGCATGACTTTCGCAAATTTTTATGGGATAAGCACGGGGAAAATGTCATTTTCTATGATGGAACAGATGAAAGAATTGATTTTTGGAAAGGACCCCGCCGGATAAGATCATAAATCTGCCACCCCCCTAGATTTCAACTTCAATAGTGTAGAAAGATAGAGCATGAAATTCTGCACATTTTTGTATATTTATTTTTTTTTTTTGTCAATACCAAAAAAATTTTTTAAGGACGAAATAATCTCGGGGAGGTATATCAATTTTGGGTTTCCCAAATAATAATTATGGTATTCATAATTTTTCTTTTGTAAAATTTTTATGAAAACTAATAGTGTAGATCGATAGAGTTTTTCGTGCTCTACAAAATGGTATAAATAGATAAATTTCAAATTGTTGCAATCAGGGTCTATAAGACTCACAAATGTAAGAACATATACAAAAAACATATTAAACGATTATTTTTGATAAGTTTCAAATGAGTTTTCTGGCTAACGATCATTTGCACAAGATGACGACTACCATAGAAAAATTCCTCGTCATTTGCTCTACAAAATGGTGTAAGTTTGAAGGAAAAAAT